AATAACACTTTTTACAGTAATTATAATAAACTAGAGCCGAGCTCGTTGCAAAGCAACGAATAGGTCTTCCGTTGGAGCTACGGAAAGGAAGACGTAACCTTGAGTCTAGGTCAAACCATTCTAAATAAGCAACCTAAAGGCTTGTTAAGGAAGCAACTTACAATGTTTCGCCAGGAAAAAGACTATAAAGGAATGTTATGTGCATGACCTTGAACTTTCTAAATGACCTTGCGACAAGCAATGACAAACTCTGTTATAAAAATACATAATCTGTGTATTACCGACTGGAAAAGTTCCCGTGTTTTTTTTTTTTTTAGATATTCCTTTAGTCCATATATCCACCCAAAACATCTTATCTTAAGTGACCTTGAACTTGAGTCAAGGTCATGCCCCACCCTGCATTATATGAGCAATGTTTCACTGGTACAAGTACGATTGAGAATTTAAAGTTTCTCTGTCAGTAACTGTGACTCGTCCAAAAGACTGGATATGTTCAGTCAAATTTTTTTCTGGACATATATCGAATCGAAAGAATTTATTAGGTTCAAAACTATGATTTACACAATGATTTAACTAGAAATATATCTATAGGACATGAATGCCCCGCCCAGTGTATATTAGTAAATAATGTAACATTAAATTTGTATAAGTGTGTGACGTTTGTTGAGAATATCTTAAATAGTTTCTTAAAAATTGAAATCTTAAAAATAGATATAGATTATAAAAATCAATTCAGATAATGCATATAGGCATAAGCTTACATAAAAAAAAATCTCACATGATTTCTTAAATACTAAGCAAATTGAAAATTAAAAACAAGTGAGGTCAAGGTCACATTAAAGTGAAGATCAAAATGTATCAGGATACTAAAGTTTGATAAAAATGTCTTGAATGGATTCTTCAAAACTGAAGGTCGCCCGTGTGGCACAGTGGTTAGAGCATCTAATCTACACTAAGGTTTGGATAGCTCTCATAAGTGTGTATCAGCATATGAAGTTGAGTAAAAATATAAATGCTTTCTTCAAAACTGAGCAAAATACTATCTGAATTAGGTAAAGTAAGATCAAGGTGAAAGAAGAGGCCAAAGTAAAAAAAAAATGTATGTATCACCAAAATAAGTAAAAGAATACTCAGTCTTGAATGGTATGTTTCTGAGTTAAACACTTACCTGAAAAAAGTTAGGTTAAGGTCAAAGGAAAGGTAAAACAAAATGTTGATGCAGTTACAAACGTGTAGCCTATAGTACGTATCGGCACATAATGCCCGGCCATTTTTATGGGGAAGCATCAAAGGTTCAATAAGAATGTTTTATTTGAAATTTGGAGACTTGTGAAATGATGCGTGTAGACCGATCCTATGGATGAGACCGGATAAATCAAGGTCGTGTGTCGTGGTACATGTAGGTGCTGGCATGAAAAGGATCCAAAGCACCTGACTCCATCAGGCATACATCTTGAAATTAATAAATGCACAAGCGAATACGATTGATTAAAACAAATATGAGATAAAGTGAAATAAAATAACATACAACGGGCAATTTTTACTGCTGTATATTTTTACGAATTTCGGTCCCAAAATGGTGATTTAAATTTTTAGACGTTGATCTTTTACGAATTGAATATGTCCGTAAAAATGAAAAACATTAGACGTAAAATTCCAGATCACATTGAATGCATTAACGTACATTCGTACAAATAATGTGTCAACAAACTCTATGTGTGAGAGAGAGAGAGAGAGAGAGAGAGAGTTATTAAATTGATATATCAATATAAACATTGCAACAAATTACATCATGAATTGTATAATTTTTTTTTCATAACCGTTATATACATGAGCAATGTACCCTTCATTTATTCATGTTTTTTTAAACACATAGCTAGGCACACGTGCCACCTGGTATATTTACCGAAAACAAAGAGAGACAATTCAAACTAACATAACTGAAGTGAAAGTATTCAAGTACAGCGTATTAAGAGGTCGAAGTTTTATTCAAAGCACTCGAAGCAGAAGAAAGTGTCCAAGATTGAAAACACGGGTATTCATTTAATTGGAAGATCTGTAATTATTAAGTCATTATCAGAAGTTATGCGTCTCGAAAAAAATACTAAAAACGAGAGACCAGGTAGGTCTTTTTTTTTTTTTTTTTTTTTGACTATTAAAACTTCAAAAAAAAAAAAAAAAAAAAGGTAGGTCTAACTGATTAATTAATTGACGGTGTTTGTATAATTTATATACAATTTAATTGAGATTTACCTGTATGATCCCAATTGATGATTGGCTTAAAAGTGCTCAAAATACTAACAGTATACTAATTATATAGCCTCCATGGCGTGCATGAGCTTAATAGCAATTAGCATTACTTTTACACATACCATGTTAAAAATTTATACGAGCCGTTTTATAAATTATGTGAAATTTTACGCGTTTAAATTTTACGGATTTATTAACCTAAAAAAAAATACCCCTCATTCGGTAATATGAAAGAGGCGACATGATTTCAAAGCCAATTTCCACTATTGGAGTACACGATGTATTTCTAACATTCGACATGCCTGCGGCTCTCTGTGGCCACGCACGTTAAAAAAATAGTGGAGAAACAAAAGAGTGATGGTAAAAATAAAACGTACATATAGTACATTACCCATTTCAAGACTTCCATCACTAATTATAATTATTTGCTGAAGCCCCTTTTCAATTACAATTTTGATAAAATACATTAACACGGAATAGAGAAACAATTTTGCGCGAACAGGCCAAAGAAAGCGATCAAAATTCAAAATGATTTTATGCACTAGTGTTAGGAATTGCGATTTAATGCAAGATCGGTGAAGTATTCTTATTGATTCGATTAATAAAAAACACAATTTTCTATTTATTGATAGGTCTTCGTACACAATGGATTTTAAACACGATCACAGACCATGCAGACACTTGCTTTATTTACGACAATAGGTGGCTGGTACACTAGTGACCTCGATAGGCACCGTGGGATTTGCGCGTTGGATTACATAACTATTACAAACATCTAGGCGAACGTGGAGATCAACTAAATAATCGTGAATTATTCGATAATCATTGATAAAGTTTAAAATTACTTATAATAATAATTAATGTAGAAAGATAGATTTAATATATTCCGATGAAGACGTGTTCACTATAAAACTAATTAATAAAACATAAAAAAGAAAGACTAATTGTTATAAAAAAAAATTAATAGTAAAGACCTTTTTAGAAGAAATTTAACAGTAAATACCGTAGGTTATATTATTGATATCTTCCTGTGTAAAATTATACACACGAAGAGGTCTGATTTCCTTTCCGAATAAAAAACGCTATCTGTTTACCTGGCCTGCTTTCTACTTCGTGTTACGCAATACCCCCGGTATAATCGAGCAAAACAACATTTTCATCAGATCAAAAAGGTGTAAAAGAGCAATTTTGATCGTAAGATCCAGATTTAAGTTTTTACCGTTTTTGTGTTATAAATCAAAAGCTTTCAAGTTCCCTAATTCCCTAAATATAGGGGCCAGCCCCTTTTGAATAGCATTATACGAAAGCCCCTGCAATTATGCACAACTTTTGTTCTACATGTCTTAACAAAATATTTTTAGTTTTCAAGATATAAGGAAAATATGTGTTAATTTTCGCTTTTTTAGGCGTTCTAATTTTTTACCCCTATATAGCGCCATTTTGAATACAGAAATCGAAAAACAAAAACCGATGTGCACAACTTCAATCCTTCTGTTATCTAAAAAGAGCAAATTTCTGCTCCAGCTCTAGTAGTCTCTGAGCCTTTATCTGGAAATGAAAGCCTATAATTTTTCGTTTAAAGGGAAATAACTCATAAGCGGAAGTAAATTTTTGAAATGTTAGACAGCATTCTGATAGAGTTTATTATCGTCTATAATGTCTGAAAATTTGAGCAAAATCCATTGAGAAATGAGTGAGATATGAGGCCTCAAAGTTGGCGTCTAGGAAGAAAAAAAGAATAATAAGAATAATCTTAATCATCAGAATCAGTAGAAGGTCTTCCGTTGGAAACGGAAGACCTTGATAAAACCAGCTAATTCAGAAAAACTGTGTCTCCCGCGAAAGGAATAAAGAAGAGCATGCGCGCGGATCAAGGAAGGGGACAGGACACTTTAAGAAGGGCAGGCGGGGACAAAGGGAGCTATGATATAAATTTCATTGCAAAAGCTCCAAAACTTCTTGATACATCGCCTGAAAATGAATTTTTAACACACAGAATGTGAATAAACGTCTATGATCTTTAAAAAGAAGAGGGCCATAGGTAGTTGTGTATAAAATTTCACTGCAAAAAACCAAAGGCTTCCGAAGAGACGGCACGGAAAAAGAGTTAAAACATGATTTTTGAATTGATGACTTTGATTTTTGACCTTTGGACTTAAATAGGGGTCTTCTCTAGACCATAGAAGTTATGTAAAATTTCATTTCAAAAGCTCAAAGGCTCTATGAGACATCGTGAGGAATCGAAAGGTAATAGTGCAGACGGACGGACAGTCAGGCAGAAATGAACCCCCACTTTCATTAAAAGTGGGAACAACAACAACAACAATAATGATAATCTATTAATGTTTGTTTTAATATAAATCAGTTAATTTTTATTTCTTGAAATCGGGTGTGACCGGAATGCTCATTTCTCCATGGCACCTGATCCAAACTTTGATGTTTCGGAGATCCGTGTTTGCATTGCTCCTATTTTGTATTGTTTTATGAATTTTGATAATTGAATACTTTTCGTTATCTATATATTTTTCTTGTTATAAAGGTGGTGGCTTTTTATATTATATAAATTGATGCATTAAATCCCTATGATAATTTGATGATATGAGTTAACCTTTATAATAGTCAGTCGAACGATTATACTTTGGGAGAATAAAGACATGAACTGAAATTCAGTCAGTGGATGGAAGTTATTTACTTTAGAATAAAGAGATGTATGTATAACAAGCGAGAAACTCGTATGAATTCTTTATTAGGGAAAATGCAGTAGCCAAGAACAGTGCTTTCTTTGGACCAGGACATGGAACTATATGGATGGACGAGGTTAGATGTAAAGGAACGGAGATCAATTTATTTTATTGTTCTAAATCAGACCTTGGTAAACACGATTGTAGCCATAGTGAAGATGCAGGAGTTATTTGCTCATTAGGTACGATTACTAAGTACAGCATGCGTACTAATATTGCCGGACTAGGGGGTTCAAGTGTCTATTTTTATGTGTTTTGTTCAAAAATTGCTGGGAATTTATTAGTGCTCTGTCTCATTCTTCCTTTAGAGACATGCATGAATTTATTAAAGGAATGCAAATGATGCTATTCTTTCTTTTTAAATATAAGTTATAAACAGACAAGCGTTCTTTCTAGTGTTTTTATTTGATTTTAAGGTAATGAATTAAATTTTTAAACCCCATTGGCTGTCTATAGGTATTTTGGATTGAAATCACAATAAATTCACAAAACAACAGTATAGAAATAACGATTGAAATTTTAAGGTTTAATAAATATGTTTTCAATGGTTCAATTATTTCCTTAAGTAAATTCAAGTAACAAATGTGAAAGAATTCAAAATTTCAACTTACACTTAATTAATTATGAAGTTGCACATGTCTTTGTTTTCTGTCATGGTAAATGTCTCCCTTGCGTAATATAATGCTCATCACATACGGTATCAAAAAGGAATAGCAAAAAAATTTTTATGTTTCAAACTATATTCATGATGAAAAACTTACTAGAGACTTCACAATTTAAAAAAGAATATTCTTATGTTCATGAAGATTAAATTTCCTAACCATAGATAATATAAGACTTGTCAATGGATCGTTGCCGTATGAGGGGCGGGTAGAGATAAAACATAACGGTGTTTGGGGTACAATATGTGATGATGGATGGGACAATAAAGACGCAGCTGTTGTCTGTTCTATGCTAGGATTTCCGAGGTAAGTTTATTACACACATAAGTTTTCAATATTTCATGGTTGATATAAATTATATCAAAATCTTACATTTTGTTTTTATTGATATTTTTTCGTGTAGAAATTTTACAAGAGCCAAATCAAACGCATTTTATGGACAAGGAAGTGGCAAAATTTGGATTGACGATTTATCATGTAGTGGCCATGAATCTAATGTATTGCAATGCAATATCACAGCATTAGGCACACATAACTGTCAACACAGTGAGGATGCAGGAGTACTTTGTTCACCCGGTACGTATGAATTTTAATCTTCGACAATTAACCCTTTAAATGAAAATATATTAAATCACAAATAAATCAAAATCACCATCCTCTGAAATATACTTTCTGATAAAAATACTGATAAGTCACTTAGTATTTCTCATAAATCTATAATCGTTGCAAGAGACAAATACTAGTTTTTTGTCGAAAAACAAATGTTTTAAACTTGATTTGCATCAATATATCATTATATTTTTCCTAGTCATATATCTTACATGTATATTGTACAAATATGATAAAACTGAAATCGTATTGTTATTTGTAAATGTTCTGTATATTCTTCATGAATTCAAGGTAATGGTTTTCTGTACTGTAATATGGCTCACATGAGCTTAAATCTCAGATGAGTTTTTTGTAGGGCACCTACTGTCCGTTGTCTATCTGTAAACTTTTAACATTTTCAACTTCTTCCCAAGAACCTATGGAGCAATTTTTACCAAAATTGGTACAAAGTAAAATTTGAAAATGAAGGGCTACATCTCCTTCTGAGTGGAGATAATCAAAAAGAATATAGTGCGTGGGTCATTTAAAAATCTGCAGAACCACTGGATCAGAAAATCGGAAACATGTGTAAACATCCTGGGATAGTGTAAATTCTGAATTGTACAAATCATAATCCCTGGGAGTAGAATGGGGCAACAACAGGGAATTCAAGTTTAACATTGAAATACGAGAGGTGATCAAAAAGTTCGCGAACTAATGAAATAACTTCCGAAAAAAATGATATGGGGTTTCAGTGTTGAAAATGTTTTAAAGTAGTCCTCTCCTATTTTAATGCGTATCTGCAACCATTCTACCCATGCGCGGATCACGTGATACAGGCGATCACGTTACATGCTCTTAAGAGTCCTGTCAAAGAAGCTTAAAATTTCTTTTTGATCAACCCTCGTATACAGAAAAAATCTTTGAACATCTTCATCTCATGAACCACTTTGTCATATACTATATAGACTGAAACTTATATGAAAACATCCCGGTGAAAACATCCTGATCCAGGGGGTAGGATGAGACAACACTTGGGAATCTGAGTTGACATTGAAATACAAAGTGTTTATGGGAAAACCTTTCTTCTTAAGAAGCACCGACCAGAAAAACTGAAACCTATGTGGAAGCTGTAGATTCTAAATTGTTTACATCATGACCCCGGTAGGTAGGGCGGGCCACAACAGGGAATTCAAGTTTTACATTGAAGCTCATATAACTAAAAATTCTTTTTAATGACTTCATTTCCAGAAAAGCTGAAATTTGTGTTGTAGCATCACTGGGTAGTGTAGATTCTAAATTTTTCAAATCATAACCCCGGGGATACGACGGGCTCACAATAAGAAATGCAAATTTTATCTTAGGAAACATCATCTCCTCAAAGACCACTCGGACGGAAAAGCTGAAACTTATGTGGTAAAATGCTGGGACAGTGTAGATTCTTATTTTTTTCAAATAATGACCCATGAGGGGAGGGTAGGGTGGGGCCGCAATAGGTTTTTACTTTAAAATATAGGAAAAAAATCTTCTAAAGAACCAATCGGCCAGAAAAACTGAAACTTTTATGGAAACTTTACTAGATAGGGTAGATTCGTGGGCCACAAGGTAATACGAGGCAGAGATCTGGTGAAAACAGCAGATGAGCGTTGTAGGCTATGAGCCTCTTGTATATCTAATTGCTGAGTAATATGCGGATTTCTAAACTCAAAATAGGAGTTATTACGGGATTATGAGGCAATTATTATGATTATGTGAATCCTCACAATAAATTAAAGATTTGGCATTTCAAATTCAGGGACGAATAGAATTATTCCTCGAAAAATATGAAACATTGAATTTTTAAATACTCTGACAACTCAATAGGGAATTACTTACCAGATAAACAGAATATTTCCAACACATCTTTTTGAAGTCATTTTGTGTTTTCATCAATATTTTTAAAGCTTTTTTGCTCAAGCATAGGTGGCGGAAGCGCATTGTGCTTCCTCCTGTGTGTTGCTTAGTAAATATAATGTTCTTGTTTATGGTTTTATGGAAATATAATCTAAATTTAGTTGTAACACGTCATTTGATTGCTTAAACGGTTATTTCCATTTTGTATAACATAACTTGCCTACATCACAATGAGTTCAGCAAAATGTATTACTCCGCTTGACGTTAACTTTTGAAATATGCAATATTTGAAGCCCTTTTCCGAAGGAAAAATTGGAAATATTATATCATGGTCTACATTGAAATTAAATAATAAGGAATGAAGTTTATTTCAACTTATGTTATACGATATAACATAACTTGGGACAGTTTACGCTTTTTTTTAATAAACCGCTTCGCGGTTTATAAAGCGTAAACTGCCCCAAGTTATGTTATATCATATAACAAAAGTTGAAATAAGCTTCATTCCTTAAGTAAAAAAATAGTTGCTCGCGTGAAAATTCTGTGCATAATTATGGTTTTATGGAAATATAATTTAATTTCAGTTGTAACACGTCATTTGATTGGTTAAACGGTTTTATCTATTTTGTATAACTTAACTTGCCTACGTCACAATGAGTTACATCAAAAACGTATTACTCCGCTTGACGTTAACTTTTAAAATATGCAATATTTGAAGGCTTTTTCCGAAGGAAAAATTGGAAATATTATATCATGGTCTACATTGAAATTAAATAATAAGGAATGAAGTTTATTTCAACTTATGTTATACGATATAACATAACTTGGGACAGTTTACGCTTTTTTTAATAAACCGCTTCGCTGTTTATAAAGCGTAAACTGCCCCAAGTTATGTTATATCATATAACAAAAGTTGAAATAAGCTTCATTCCTTAAGTAAAAAAATAGTTGCTCGCGTGAAAATTCTGTGCATAAACAAGCAATCTTCGTTTATGGATAAAATGATCGTGTGAAAAAGGGTTTGGGAATATGATCGTTAAGAAAATCAAAAACAAAAATCCTTAAAATAATTTTATTTTTTACACATGCTATAGAATTTATTTAAAATATGTCACTTAGAATGATCGGAGATTGTATTAAAGTTCAGGATGTTCGATTTGCAAATGGAAACACAATTGCGATGGGTCTAGTGGAGATAAAAATTAAAGGTGCGTGGGGAACTATCTGTAATAATGACTGGGACGATAATACAGCAGCTGTAGTGTGCTCAATGCTTGGATTTTCAAGGTGAGACTGGGGAGAAATGATTATTTCTATGTTGCCTCTTGTGATTATTTGAATAGCCGGTAATAACATCCGACAGAATTTATTGCATCTATCTACAGATAAACCTGAGTGAAAGAGGATTAAGAATTAATTTAAAACAAGTTTATTTGAAAGAAATTGTTAGTTAAACAAGATGAGATAAATTACAATAGAGTAAATTGAAATAAAATATGAATCTTCTCAGACAAAATGCAGTGTCCAAGAACGGGTCTTTCTTTGAACCAGGATATGGACTTATATGGATGGATAAGGTTAAATGTACTGGAAATGAAATAAATTTATTCCAGTGTCCTAAAGCAGAATTTGGAGATGACAATTGTGGTCACAGCGAAGATTTGGGAGTTAGTTGCTCATTAGGTAAGAAAAATTACGGCAGTATTTTTTATTTGAATATTTGCCGCTTTACCTCTGTATATAGTTTCTCATTCAAGATAAGTTACCAATATAAGATATTTAAACACTGATGACTTTAAACGAGACTGTTGATATTCTTGTTTCATTAACTTGCTTGTCAATAAATTACATCGTTTTAGAAAATTAGAGCATGCTCTTGCGTATCGAATCAACTGATCGAGATATATACATTCCGTATGCAGGTGTTGAAGGTGTTTTGCTGCATGAAGGATATGGAGATAACGAACAGTATTCAATCTCAAAGTCCATTAAACAATACATAATAAGAGCAGAGCAAACACGGACCCCTGAAACATCAGAGGTTGGATCAGGTGCCATGGAGTAGTAAGCATCCCCTGCCGACCGGTCACACCCGCCGTGTGCTCCTTGTCAAGATCAGAAAATAACGGAAAAAATCCGTCGTCAATTCAGTGTATAAATAATGGAGTAACTATTGGTATGAAAAAAGTCAGTCAGCATTTGACTCAATGATAAATTGTATTTGCTGACAAGGTCATTGTATCGACCATAGAACTTACGAAATGATGATTTTAAACGAGACTGCTGATATTTTTGTTTCGTCAACTTGCTTGTCAATAATTTACCTCGTTTTAGAAATTGTTCATACGTAGAGCATGCTCTTGCGTATCGAATCAACTGAGATATATGTATTCCGTATGCAGGTGATTAAGGTATATTGCTGCGTAAGTAAGGGAAGTTGACGATAAAAAAGTTAAAGTCATCACGTTTATCATATAACCTGGTTGTTAGATTACCATTAGAGTCTTTTTCAAGTAAAATATCCAAGTATGAAACAGAAGTGTCGGACTCTGTGGTCTCTTTCATCTCAAGCTCACCAGGATATATCTCGACGTAGGAATGGAAATTACCATCATTACTAGTAATTGACAATACGTCGTCGATATATCTCAATGTCAAGTTGAAGGCCACAGCAAGTGTTTTCTTCTTTTCACACATAAGATTTTGCATAAATTGTGCTTCAAATGAATTGGTAACCATGGTAATTCCAACAGTTTGTTGGAATAGCTGGTTTCCAAAAACCATATAGATATTGTCAATCAGAAAATCAAGCATCTTTTTTATGTCAACTTAAGAGTACTTGTGTGTGCAATCAGAATGTGTTTTAACAAAGTAATTTTGCAAATGACCGATGACCAGGTAAGTAAATTTACGAGTTCCATTTTTATTGAAAAAGCAGCTGTCAATGATATCAACCTGAACTTTTATTTATTGCGGGGAATGATTGTGTATTAACTTGAAAAGTCGTAAGTTTTTAAACTTTTGAATTTGGTAAAATCTTCCAAAAGTTCTTTTAAATTTTTGAGTATCCACTTCTTGAATATATTGTTGCACATTACTCTTTAAATTTTTTTTCTTCACTACTGTCAATATCTTAGAAAGGAGTAATGAAAGAGACTTGATTGAACATTGACTGGAACCCGCAATGTATCTTTATTTGTAAGGATTCTTATGAAATTTTGGAATCTAATATATATGTATAAATATATAATTAAAACTTCCAAGGAACCTTTCAAAAATTGGAAAATTTTATTAAATCAATTACATCAAACCATTCGACTTTTCAATCCTTTATACAAGAACTTCCAGCGATAAAGTAAAGTCCGGGTGTTTTGACTTTTGCTTTATTAATAAAATTGGAAATCGTATATTTAAGTCATCTGCAAATTCATTCTGTTAAAACATTTTGACTCTGAAGCTAATATTTAAAAAGATAGTTGAGATTCTGTTTAACAATGTCTGTGTTGTTTTTGGAGACCAGGTCTTATAACAAACTGTCAGAACCAATGGTTACCAATTTTGCCTCGTCATTAGCAGAGTTATTTTGGTATTCATTTGACGCAAAAATTATTCAAAATCGTTTACAAGCCATTAGAAGACGAAAACACTCGCTTTACCTTCAGCTCGACAATTAGATATACTGAATACTGTATTATAAATTTAGAATAGCTATTTCTTTTCATAATGTCCACAAGAAATATGCGAGTAAGCTTGAAATAAAAGATACCACAGAGTTTGACACGTCTTTTTATATAGGATATTTTACCAGAAAAGAGGGTAATGGTAATTTAACAACCAAGCTCCATGATTAACGTAATGACTTCAACTTTTTAATCGCCAACTTCCCTTACTTATGCAGCAATATACCCTAACCACCTGCAAACAAGGTTTTTATAAATCATTTGATTGTTATACCGTAATTTACACACTGAATTGTTTACGATTTTTTTTGTTATTACCCGATCATGACAAGGATAAGATGGTGTGTTTTATCGGTCGACGTGGGATTCTCTCTTGCTCATGGTACCTGGCCCCACCGCTAATGTTTAAGATACCTGCATTTGTCTTGCTCCTGATTTGTATTCTTTGAATGGCCTGTTCATTAACTCTATAATTTAGTTTAAGAAAATAATATCATAAAGGCCTTTTTTTGTTTACATTAAAAGCAAGTGCAGTTTTACAGATTTTTGTAAACATATTATGTAGTCTTTTTTATTGAATGGGCGAGAATTTGAACTACTAAGAAGTTTAGGATTACAAAATAGGACCTATACAAGGAGCGATTATGTTTAGGAATTATTAAAGAATTTTTGCGCACAAAGAAATTAATCAAATTCAAAAAGGATAAAAGATATCCACTGTCTTTACATCCTTTTCTACATCTTCATATGAAAAGAAAGGAAATCTCTAAACAATACTACTTAGAATATCCAACATCTAATTAAAATATATATTTGAAAATATTTTGACAAACCGTATATAAAAGTTGGATATATATACAAGAAAAAGTATACAATGTATCAAATTACCTGATTTATTAGAAAATTTACATTTAGTCTGTGGAATTCATTTTTTATTCCGCTTATTTTAGATAGAAGAATAAAAATATTGGTTTGATTATTTAATAAAAAAAAATAAATGGTGGTGGGGGTGGGGGTTGGGAAGAAGGTTGTGATGATGAAATGATTTTCCTCTAATAGCAATAAACTTCTTATTTAAAGAATTTAAAGTTTCTCTAATGTTTACTTATTATTCAAAATTCTATATTTGATATATTTTTTTCTAAATATTGCATCGATATAGATGTACGGATTGTCAATGGGTCCTCGGCTTCTGAAGGGCGGGTTGAGGTGAAATTCAATGGTGAGTGGGGAACTGTATGTGACGATGATTGGGATACCATTGACGCTGCTGTTGTCTGTGGAATGCTGGGATTTTCAAGGTAACGAAATTTACTATAGGTAACTACAGTTTACTTAAGTTAACTCGAGAAAGTCTTAAGCTTTAGAGCTCGATCCTCACAGTTGCCTACCAATATAATTTCATTTTTTTTTTTCAAATTTTATTAATTATTTAATTAATTCGTAATTAATTTTTCAAATAAATGCGAATATGCGGGTCTTACTTGCATTTGATGAAAAAAAACCCAGTGAATGTAGAACTTGGAAAATAATCGGAGAATGTAAAATTTATACAATATTTGAGCATGATAGTAGCTTACTAAAATTAACATACTTAATACTTTGATTTACTAAGGTTACATTAACTATAGTAAATACTTTGATACTATTGTAAATTTTGATTACGTCTATCCATGAGAAGACGTACAATTTTGCTCTAACTTCGGCCAAAAGATACGATCTTTTATGAAAGGTATATCTTTATGCTAGTCCTGGCTTTTCGCTGACGTAGCGATGCGACTGGACGTACGACCTTTGATGCAACATCCTCGTGCTAGTTCCGAATTTACTCCACCGTATAATTACACCTGGCCGTGGGACTTTTTTTTGAAACGGAACCCGCTTTGCATTGATACAATGGGCATCCTAGCTTGATTACTGATCATAATCTGCATGGTCATATATTTTGATTAGGGTTCACTGCTAATTTATTTTAAACTGTTCTTTTATTACAGGAAAAATAATTCAACTAACACTGTTCGTACCATTTTATAATGAAGCATAAAAACGATACTATTTTAGAAAACCTGACATATCTTAGATGCCTACAAATTGATTCCTTTTGATTCACCTTTTCCTTTGATTTTTAGACCTTTACTATTGATTTTAAATATACATTCATGAAAGTTTACTTTGGTGAATTTCAGAGATAATTTTATTAGTATTTGTGATTACTTAACTACTAATTTTATAAAACTAATGGTCGGATTACCTTAATATTGCTCTTAGTAAAAATGCAGTTGCTAAGAGGGGAGCTTTCTTCGGGATGGGGAGAGGAACTATCTGGATGGATGACGTAGGATGCACTGAAAATGACAGAAATATAGCACAATGTAAAACACGAGAACTTGGAACTGAGAATTGTGGACATCACGAAGATGCAGGAGTTATTTGTGCCCCAGGTAAGTATGAGAAAAATTAAGCTATGTTTGAATCTTATCGGATAGGCATATTACATGTACTAAACAAATGCCACGATCCGAATTTTTTAATGTTTCTTCATGCTTTACACTTTAATGCCTAGCAATTAAAATATTACCCTATTCAGAGCAGGAAAAAAGTATTTAAAATAAACATTTCCACGGAATCTTATTCGAGCCGATTTTGTTCAATTGACAGTATTACTGACATGACATGCCTGCTCTTCATGTGCATCATTTCAGAAAGAAATGAGACTTTTAGCGTATTCAATTTGGGTGTGATGGTTTAAAGAGAATATAAAAGTACATCTCTTAATCAAGAGTACACGTGGCACAACTTCGAGAGTAGGGGAATAACAAATTTGACAGAAAGATTATTAGTGAGTCATTTCGAGTGTGGTAATTCTTGGGCTCCTCAAAAAATGATGTAATTAAAGCATATATAGAAAGGTGTGATTAGAGGGTAATCAGGAAAAAAAAACTGATCTAAATTCTAATCTTAAACCTGTGGAAATAATTTTTTTTATTCTTTTTATTTAAGAGAGTTTTTTTTAATTACACTGTAGAGTAAATATTTGTAATATATGATGTTAAAAATAATATGGTTTTGATTCTTATATTAAATTAGTTCGGAGATTTGTGCTGATTGAATGTTTTTTCCTAATAACAATAAACTTCTTTCTAAGAAAAAATTCAGTTAGTGTTTTCTGTGATATTCAGAAATGCGTATGGGAGAACAGATCTTTCATTTTACAAATATTGTATCTGATATAGATATACGGCTTGTCAATGGGTCCTCGGCTTCTGAAGGGCGGGTTGAGGTGAAATTCAATGGTGTGTGGGGAACTGTATGTGACGATGATTGGGATAACATTGACGCTGCCGTTGTCTGTGGAATGCTGGGATTTTCAAGGTAACGAAATTTACCATAGGTAACTTCAGTTTACTTAAGTACTTACAGTTTACTTAAGAAAGTCTTAAGCTTTAGAGCTCAATCCTCACAGTTGCCTCCTAACATTATTTAATTTTCCCCCCAAAATTTTATTAATTATTTAATTAATTCATAATTAATTTTTCAAATAAATGTGAATATACGGGTCTTACTTGCATTTGATGAAAAAAAAAAACAGTAAATGTAGAACTTGGAAAATAATCGGAGAATGTAAAATTTAGACAATATTTGAGCATTGATAGTAGCTTACTTTGATTAGAATACTTAATACTTTGATTTACTAAAGTTAATACATTAACTAAAGTAAATAATTTGATACTATTGTAAATTTTGGTTACGCCTATCCATGAGAAGACGTACTATTTTGCTCTAACTTCGGCCAAAAGATACGATCTTTTATGAAAAGTATATCTTTATGCAAGTCCTGGCTTTTCGTTGACATAGCGATGCGACTGGACGTATGACCTTTGATGCAACATTCCGTGCTAGTTCCGAATTTACTCCACCGTATAATTACACCTGGCCATGGGACTTTTTTTTAAAACGGACCCCGCTTTGCATTGATACAATGGGCATCCTAGCTTGACTACTGATCATAATCTGCATGGTCATATATTTTGGTTAGGGTTCACTGCTAATTTATTTTGAACTGTTCTTTTGTTACAGGAAAAATAATTCAACTAACACTGTTCGTACCATTTTATAATGAAGCATAAAAACGATACTATTTTAGAAAACCTGACACATCTTAGAAGCCTACAAATTGATTCCTTTTGATTCACCTTTTCCTTTGATTTTTAGACCTTTACTATTGATTTTAAATATACATTCATGAAAGTTTACTTTGGTGAATTTCAGAGATAATTTTATTAGTATTTGTGATTACTTAACTACTAATTTTATAAAACTAATGGTCGGACTACCTTATTATTGCTCTTAGGAAAAATGCAGTTGCTAAGATGGGAACTTTCTTCGGGATGGGGAGAGGAACTATCTGGATGGATGACGTAGGATGCACTGAAAATGACAGAAATATAGCACAATGTAAAACACGAGAACTTGGGACTGAGAATTGTGGACATCACGAAGATGCAGGAGTTATTTGTGCCCCAGGTAAGTATGAGAAAAATTAAGCTATAAGTTTGAATCTTATCGGATAGGCATATTACATGTACTAAACAAATGCCACGATCCGAATTTTAATGTTTCTTCATGCTTTACACTTTAATGCCTAGCAATTAAAATATTACCCTATTCAGAGCAGGAAAAAAGTATTTAAAATAAACATTTCCACGGAATCTTATCCGAGCCGATTTTGTTCAATTGACAGTATTACTGACATGACATGCCTGCTCTTCATGTGCATCATTTCAGAAAGAAATGAGACTTTTAGCGTATTCAATTTGTGTGTGATGGTTTAAAGAGAATATAAAAACACATCTCTTATTCAAGAGTACACATGGCACACCTTCAAGAGTAGGGGAATGAGAAATTTGACAGAAAGATTATTAGTGAGTCATTTTGAGTGTGGTAATTCTTGGGCTCCTAAAAAAATTATGTAATTATAGCATCTATAGAAAGATGTGATTAGAGGGTAATCAGGTGAGAAAAAACTGATCTTAATTCTTATCTTAAACCTGTGGAATTAATTTTTTTTTTATTCTTCTTATTTTAGAAAGTTTTTTTTAATTACACTGTAGAGAAAATATTTGTAATATATGATGTTAAAAAATAAAATGGTTTTGATTCTTATATCAAATTAATGCGGAGATTCGTGCTGATTGATTTTTTTTCCTAATAACAATAAACTTCTTACTAAGAAAAAATTCAGTTAGTGTTTTCTGTGATATTCAGAAATGTATATGGGAGAACAGATTTTTCTTTTTACAAATATTGTATCTGATATAGATATACGGCTTGTCAATGGGTCCTCGGCTTCTGAAGGGCGGGTTGAGGTGAAATTCAATGGTGTGTGGGGAACTGTATGTGACGATGATTGGGATAACATTGACGCTGCCGTTGTCTGTGGAATGCTGGGATTTTCAAGGTAACGAAATTTACTATAGGTAACTACAGTTTACTTAAGTTAACTCGAGAAAGTCTTAAGCTTTAGAGCTCGATCCTCACAGTTGCCTACTAATATAATTTCAATTTTTTCCCCAAATTTTATTAATTATTTAATTAATTCATAATTAATTTTTCAAATAAATGCGAATATGCGGGTCTTACATGCATTTGATGAAAAAAAAAACAGTGAATGTAGAACTTAAAATTTAGACAATATTTGAACATTGATAGTAGCTTACTTTGATTAACATACTTAATACTTTGATTTACTAAAGTAAATACATTAACAAAAATAGATACTTTGATACTATTGTAAATTTTGGTTACGCCCAATTTTGCTCTAACTTCGGCCAAAGATACGATCTTTTATGAAAAGTATATCTTTATGCTAGTCCTGGCTTTTCGCTGACATAGCGATGCGACTGGACGTACGACCTTTGATGCAACATCCTCGTGCTAGTTCGGAATTTACTCCCCCGTATAATTACACCTGGCCATGGGACTTTTTTTTTTAAAACGGACCCCGCTTTGCATTGATACAATGGGCATCCTGGCTTGATTACTGATCATAATCTGCATGGTCATATATTTTTGTTAGGGTTCACTGCTAATTTATTTTAAACTGTTCTTTTGTTACAGGAAAAATAATTCAACTAACACTGTTCATACCATTTTATAATGAAGCATAAAAACGATACTATTTTAGAAAACCTGACACATCTTAGATGCCTACAAATTGATTCCTTTTGATTCACCTTTTCCTTTGATTTTTAGACCTTTACTATTGATTTTAAATATACATTCATGAAAGTTTACTTTGGTGAATTTTAGAGATAATTTTATTAGTATTTGTGATTACTTAACTACTAATTTTATAAAACTAATGGTTGGACTACCTTATTATTGCTCTTAGGAAAAATGCAGTTGCTAAGAGGGGAGCTTTCTTCGGGATGGGGAGAGGAACTATCTGGATGGATGACGTAGGATGCACTGAAAATGACAGAAATATAGCACAATGTAAAACACGAGAACTTGGGACTGAGAATTGTGGACATCACGAAGATGCAGGAGTTATTTGTGCCCCAGGTAAGTATGAGAAAAATTAAGCTATATGTTTGAATCTTATCGGATAGGCATATTACATGTACTAAACAAATGCCACGATCCGAATTTTTAATGTTTCTTCATGCTTTACACTTTAATGCCTAGCAATTAAAATATTACCCTATTCAGAGCAGGAAAAAAGTATTTAAAATAAACATTTCCACGGAATCTTATTCGAGCCGATTTTGTTCAATTGACAGTATTACTGACATGACATGCCTGCTCTTCATGTGCATCATTTCAGAAAGAAATGAGACTTTTAGCGTATTCAATTTGGGTGTGATGGTTTAAAGAGAATATAAAAACACATCTCTTAATCAAGAGTACACATGGCACACCTTCGAGAGTAGGGGAATGAGAAATTTGACAGAAAGATTATTAGTGAGTCATTTCGAGTGTGGTAATTCTTGGGCTCCTAAAAAAATGATGTAATTATAGCATATATAGAAAGATGTGATTAGAGGGTAATCAGGTGAGAAAAAAACTGATCTAAATTCTTATCTTAAACCTGTGGAATTAATTTTTTTTTTTATTCTTCTTATTTTAGAAAGTTTTTTTTAATTACACTGTAGAGAAAATATTTGTAATATATGATGTTAAAAAATAAAATGGTTTTGATTCTTATATCAAATTAATGCGGAGATTCGTGCTGATTGAATTTTTTTCCTAATAACAATAAACTTCTTACTAAGAAAAAATTCAGTTAATGTTTTCTGTGATATTCAGAAATGTATATGGGAGAACAGATTTTTCTTTTTACAAATATTGTATCTGATATAGATATACGGCTTGTCAATGGGTCCCCGGCTTCTGAAGGGCGGGTTGAGGTGAAATTCAATGGTGTGTGGGGAACTGTATGTGACGATGATTGGGATAACATTGACGCTGCCGTTGTCTGTGGAATGCTGGGATTTTCAAGGTAACAAAATTTACTATAGGTAACTACAGTTTACTTAAGTTAATTCGAGAAAGTCTTAAGCTTTAGAGCTCGATCCTCACAGTTGCCTACTAATATAATTTCAATTTTTTCCCCAAATTTTATTAATTATTTAATTAATTCATAATTAATTTTTCAAATAAATGCGAATATGCGGGTCTTACATGCATTTGATGAAAAAAAAAACAGTGAATGTAGAACTTGGAAAGTAATCGGAGAATGTAAAATTTAGACAATATTTGAGCATTGATAGTAGCTTACTTTGATTAACATACTTAATACTTTGATTTACTAAAGTAAATACATTAACAAAAGTAGATACTTTGATACTATTGTAAATTTTGGTTACGCCCATCCATGAGAAGACGTACAATTTTGCTCTAACTTTCGGCCAAAGATACGATCTTTTATGAAAAGTATATCTTTATGCTAGTCCTGTCTTTTCGCCGACGTAGCGATGCGACTGGACGTACGACATTTGATGCAACATCCTCGGGCTAGTTCGGAATTTACTCCCCCGTATAATTACACCTGGCCATGGGACTTTTTTTTTTAAACGGACCCCGCTTTGCATTGATACAATGGGCATCCTAGCTTGATTACTGATCATAATCTGCATGGTCATATATTTTTGTTAGGGTTCACTGCTAATTTATTTTGAACTGTTCTTTTGTTACAGAAAAAAATAATTCAACTAACACTGTTCGTACCATTTGATAATGAAGCATAAAAACGATACTATTTTAGAAAACCTGACACATCTTAGATGCCTACAAATTGATTCCTTTTGATTCACCTTTTCCTTTGATTTTTAGACCTTTACTATTGATTTTAAATATACATTCATGAAAGTTTACTTTGGTGAATTTCAGAGATAATTTTATTAGTATTTGTGATTGCTAAACTACTAATTTTATAAAACTAATGGTCGGACTACCTTATTATTGCTCTTAGGAAAAATGCAGTTGCTAAGAAGGGAGCTTTCTTTGGGATGGGGAGAGGAACTATCTGGATGGATGACGTAGGATGCACTGAAAATGACAGAAATATAGCACAATGTAAAACACGAGAACTTGGGACTGAGAATTGTGGACATCACGAAGATGCAGGAGTTATTTGTGCCCCAGGTAAGTATGAGAAAAATTAAGCTATGTGTTTGAATCTTATCGGATAGGCATATTACATGCACTAAACAAATGCCAAGATCCGAATTTTTAATGTTTCTTCATGCTTTACACTTTAAGGTGGAATATCCTTCTGATAAGAGAGATAACTCTTCTAATAAGAGAGATAACTTTCTTCAGAGATTTTGTCATGAAATTCAGTGAAAAGTCATATCAGAGTTTATAAGTTTCATTCGTAATGATAATGATAATAGTCAACTCAATCAAACGTATGTTACGGTACTAGTGTTGATATGTAGTTTCTATTGCTAGTATATTGATTAATTATTTATATTAGTTTACTGAAAACTTTTATAAGCAGTTCTTTTAAACAGTGTAAATTGAAAAATCTCTATCTCTTAAAGTATAATTCTTTTAACTGTACAGAAATTTCAGATGCAGTATTGTTTATAAACATTAAATTAATATTTTGTTTCATTAAAAAATATTATCAAGGGCGATAATGGAACGATAACTCTTGTTTAATATGTATGCGTGTTATTTTACATGCACAGAAAACAATTTGTTATTCTGATCTAAAAAGCAGCACTTCAGTATGTTTTCTAATGGGAATTAGATAGGTATGAGAGTAAATATTATTTTTATATATACCTCATATTTCTAATTTAATTGTGAGATAAAAAATAATTAATCTTTCTATTTACCATATCAAATTTTTTTCACATCTTGGTTTGACATATTATTCATTTCTGAAAAACTATTTTCCATTTGAATTTAATGTTATAGTTGTTGCTGAAAATCAATGTCTTGATTTAAAAAAAAGAGTCGTGAAATTTGGAGCAGAGGGGTATTGCCCCTTAATGCCTAGCAATAAAAAATTTACCCCATTCAGAACAGAAAAAAATCTATTTATGGATACATAGCCGAGTCGACTTTATTCAATTGACAGTTTTACTGTCATGAGATGCCTGCTCTTCATTTGCATCATTTTAGAAAGAAATTAGTTTTAGCTGTTTAATTGCGTCAGATGATTTAACCACAAGAAAAAAACACATGTCTTCATCAAGAGTACACATGGCACACCTTCGAGAGTAGAGGGATGACAAATTTGAAAGAAAGATTATTAGTTAGTCGTTTTGAGTGTGGAAATTCTTGGCCTCCTCAAAAAATGACGCATATTACTGTGCTTTCATCAATTTTCGTCGGCATCATTTTTCGTGGATTTAATAAAAAGGACGTTTTCGAGGATACGTAATTTCGTGGACAAAAGCATTGCCTATACAAATGAATAGCATATTTCTTAATTCAATGAGCATTTAAATTCGTGGATCTGCTCAACAACGAAATCCTCGAAAATTGGTGCTCAACGAATATTAATGAAACCACAGTATAGCATATATAGAAATTGTGATTTTGGGGTGAATCAGGTAAAAAAAAAATGATCTAAATTCTTATCTTAAACCTGCAGAATTGATTTTTTTTATTCTTCTTATTTTAGAAAGTTTTTTTTTAATTAAAGAAAATATTTTAAATATGATGTTAAAGAATAAAATGGTTTTGATTCTTATATAAAAATTAAATCGGAGGGTTGTGCTGATTGAACATTTTTTTTCTTATAACAATAAACGTCTTACTAAGAGAAAATTATTTAAGTATTTTCTGTGATATTAAGAACTGTATATGGAAGACCAGATTTTAACTTAAAAATTGTATCTGATACAGATATAAGGCTTGTCAATGGATCGTCGGCTGCTGAAGGGCGGGTTGAGGTGAAATTCAATGGTGTGTGGGGAACTGTATGTGACGATGATTGGGATAACATTGACGCTGCTGTTGTCTGTGGAATGCTGGGATTTTCAAGGTAACGAAATTTACTATAAGGATCTACAGTTAACTTAAGTCGAGAACGTTTTTTTGGTTTAAAAGCTCGATCATCATAGCTTCCCACTAGTATAATATTACTTTTGCAAATAAATGCGAACATAAAAGTCTTACTTGCATTTAATAAAAATATCTATTGAGAACTTGTAGAATAATGAAGTTAATACTTTAATACTATAGTGCATATTATATTTACGCTTACTAATGAGTAGACGTAATGATTTGTAATGATTTGTTGAAACTCCGGCGTGAAGATAGGCTCTCTAAAGAAACACAAATATTTGTGCTAGTCCCGACATTACGCCGACGAACGGCTGCCACTGGACCTACATTGTACGACCTTTAATGAAACGGCCCCCGGGCTAGTTCCGAATTTACGTCACCGTATAGTTACGGTACGAGTTCTTTGGAAACGAATCCCCGGTGTGTATTGTTTCGATGGATATCTTAGCTTGATTACTGTCCGTAATTTGCATGATTATATTATATTTTTGCCAGGGTTTACTGCTAATTTAGCTTAAATTGTTCCTATTATAGAAAAAGTAATTCAACTGACGCTGTTCGTACAATTTTAGAATGAAGCATGAAAACGATACTATTTCTAATATGTAAGATATCGTAGATGCCTACTAGAAATGATTTCAAATATACATGTTATTCCAAATCCTATTTCAAATTTTCCCTTTAATATTGCTCTTAGGAAAAATGCAGTTGCTAAGAGGGGAGCTTTCTTCGGGATGGGGAGAGGAACTATCTGGATGGATGACGTAGAATGCACTGAAAATGACAGAAATATAGCACAATGTAAAACACGAGAACTTGGGACTGAAAAATGTGGACATCACCAAAATGCAGGAGTTATTTGTGCCGCAGGTAGAAATATTAAGCTACCGGTATATGTCTTATTTTATCGGATGGGCACATTATATTAAAAATACCACTGACCGTTTTCTTCATGTTTCTTCATGCTTTACACTTTTTAGGGCAAGCAATTAAAAATTTACCTAATTCAAAAGAAAATAAAACCTATTTAAACACATTTTTCCAAGTATACTTAGCCAAACCGATTTTCCTTCAACTGAGGGCATTACTGACATGCATAATTTTCATGTTCATCTTAACAGAAAGAAACAAGAATACATTGATGTAGGCTATAATTGTAGCCCGGAAAATAAATGAAGTAAACAATGGAAAGGAGTCTTGATCATCAATAACCTTCGATATGTGTGAAAAAAGATTTGCATCTGAATGATGAAGCAATAGTCGAGAAGATTTTGAAAACCTAATTATAGTCGGATAAAAATCGAACAAAAACGATACCCCTTAAAGCCTAAAATTTTATCAATACCTCAAGTAAATGTTGGCTGCATGAAATATAAATTAAAAAAAAAATAAATGTTGGCTGCATAGAATATAAATTAAAATTAGGCACATGCATCACCTATTTTTCAAAAATACATTTGCCTAAAAGAATATAAAACACGAAGCGTGTAACGTACGTTTTTATTCGAGAAGTAATGTTCTATGTTTTAGAAAAGGGGCCTGTCATTTATTCGATAGAAAATGATAAGCAATTTTATATATTAAATATGAAAAGCACATAGAGAGTCACTCTATAGAAGTAAATATACATTTTAAAGTGAAGCCTCATTTATCCGGACGCTTTGGTTCCCAGTCAATTTGTCCGGATATGTGAAGCGTCCAGATACCTGAATCACCAGTTAAACAAGACAATAACATTTTGAAATTCTGTTCCGATGAAAAAGTGTCCGGATACTGAAGCATCCGGATATCTGGCGTCAGGATATCTGAAGGTCCAAATATTTTGCGTATCTCGAAATTTATAAAGATAAAGAACATCCTGATGTATAATCTTTTTAATGTGTATAAAAGTTTAATTCTAAAAAGCTTCTACCACCTCAATCCAACCTCAATCCCATAATTCTGGACCTCCTGAAAAAATGATGCATAGTTTGGAAAATCATGATTTAGGGATGAGTTAGATGTTAAAAAACAACTTGTTATTTTTCTCTTAAACTCAGGTAAGTAATATTTTGAATGAATAACAGTAATAAATTTCAGGTAAACGAAAGAAGACGGAGAGTATACTAGAACAGTTGAACCGTGATGGATAAGAAAACGTGTTTTGAGATGTAAAATGATGCTTAAGGGTCTTGTCGTAAAGATTCGATCAAAGAAATTAATAGCATTATTGTGCGCTAAAGAGAATTGCTATAAGTATTGAATTAAAAATGAGAAAGAGCATAAATTTATTATTATCATCAGTATACGTACATATTCAATTGCAGAAAAGATCAGACTTGTTAATGGATCATCTCCAACTGACGGTCGTGTAGAGATCATGTATAGGGGTGTCTGGGGATCAATTTGTCATGATGGTTGGGACGATAGAGACGCTGCAGTAGTCTGTTTAATGCTTGGATTTTCAAGGCAAGAGAGATATTTTAGCAAGAATATAGTCCATTTATTTTAGTATCTTCCCTAAAGTTGATTTATGCATATTATGCAACAATTTCTATGTCTTCAGTAAGTTCAAATTTCTTTTTAAAACAGATCGACAGCAGAATCTTTCAAAGTAGTTGGCCAGCAAATGAATACTGTATGGATGGCCGATGTTGAATGCAAAGGGAATGAATTGGATATATTTTATTGTAATCACTCATCACTAAAACAAGAAGAATGTAGTCAAAACTATTACGCAGCAGTCAATTGTACACAAGGTTGGTTGTATTTACAAAAAATAACCTTTTTATTATGTGAATGGTATCTTGTGCTTATAGTTACCCTTCATCAAACAATAAAATAGGTAAAGATAACGAACATTGATAGATCTCAAAATTTTTATAAAGAACAACTTTGTCCAAGGGGACATAAACACGGACAAAGGTGAAATTATCTTGTTTGTCAAACTCACCTCTTGCCACTGTACCATTGTCATTGCACTATTGCTATGTTGCTTCATCGTCATTGTACTACCGTTGCTTGATCATGTCATCAAACTATTGACCCAAACCAGATGCATTAATGCGATATTGAAAGTCATACTCCTATCCAGATTTCATACTTGATACTCTATGAATGTTTAACAACCAATACGAATCATCAAGATCTTTGTAGGAAAAATAAAACTGGTAGGTGGTCAGACACCAGCGGAAGGACTAGTGAAGGTTTTCTATAACGGATCATGGGGAACAGTTTGCAACGACGAATGGGATGATAGAGATGCTGCTGTCGTTTGTTTCATGCTGGGATTCTCGAGGCAAATGTTGTTATCTTGTATCAAAAACAAACTAAAAAACAGAATTTTCGAAAAAAAAAAATATTGTTTTGAATTATTCTATTATGACATAATGATTCTATTTTTACCAAGGCCAGATTACCCATTTTTAGAGCTTTAAAATTCAATTATGTATTTTAATTTTTATGGTATTCTTCTGAGATCTCTTGGCCTTGGAAATAATCAAGCCAATACATCTGCATGTCCTAGTTAATTATCTTATTTACATTCCGATACAGACAGAATGCTACAGCACTTACCTCTAATAGATTTGGGTACGAAACTGGAAGGATCATGATGAATAATGTCATGTGTAATGGTGATGAAGATGATTTGTTACACTGTAACCCTACACTTATAGAAATAAAAAATTGCGACCACAATGAAGACGCTGGAGTAATTTGTTCAGCAGGTGAGTGCTCCCTAGCTTTTTTTTTATTTTTGCAATTATTTGAAAAAGTAAAATTACTTATTAGTGTTCTGATATTGTTAAGATCATATGCTATACACAGAAACATTACAACTAGTGACGAAACTGGGATATCCATTAGCTTAGTTCTGTTTATCAAACTATTCCTATTATAAGAACAAAGGGTTTTTTTTACATATTTTTATTGACCTAATACATTTTTGTCTCCAATATGTACTATGGAAACTGAAGAAAATTTCGACGTCACTTTCAAATCACAGCCATCTTCACCAAATGCTGTGGAAGATAATTGGAATAATTTGCCCGCTTCAAATCTCCTATCAACGATGACATCCAATTCAGTACCTCCTGCTAGGAATAATCAATTTGATATGTAAATGTCTATGATGCAAAATGTTCCCCGACAGTTGTCGGACATGAGACTCGAATATCATGAATTAAAATGAAAGAAAATTTGAAAAACACAACCCATAACAGGAGAGACAATCATCACAATTTCATTGCTTAAATGTTCAGACTCACCCATCCAGTCAATCTTATAATGATTTCCATCCTCATATCCATTTAGACCCAGTGTATGGGGAGAGGGAATATAACCAAAGCACAACGTCGGGTACCCAATATCCTCCATTACCAGAAATAAACAGAAATGAAAACAATGTCTTCTCCATTTTCACCCAATATCCATGTAACAATAAAACTACAAAGATATAACTGTTCAGAGGACTCTGACGAGTACCTCGCCCACTTTCAAATTTTAGCTGACTAACATAGGTGGGATTATGAAACAAAAGCACCGTGCCTCGCCAGCAGCCTTACGTGTAGTGCCCGTGCCCTTCTGAAGGAATAAAATGAAAACCAGAGGAGAGATTTTAACTCTTGTGAAAATCCTTAACAGGAGATATTACTCCATTAAGAGGTCTGATATGTACCGTGCCCAACTCCAAACCAAACAAGGGGTACAAATGAGTCCGAATTGGCCCAATCTATTAAAAATTCACTCGTCAAGCATACCCAATGGCTGATTCAACCATTATAAGAATTCTTGCCCTCGATGAATTTATAGATGCCCCACAAGCCCCGGAAATGCGATTGAGGTTAATGGTAACTGTCCATGCCATTTATTAAACTTGCCCATTTCCTCTTGGAAAGATATACTGTATACAGGGTTATTTTCGCCTCGTGTTATTTTCGCCCTTTAACGGTTGGAAACAAGTTTTCCCTGTTTGAAATTCGCCCAGAAAGATTTTTTTAAAGAAATTATGCTGTTTACTTTGAATTCGTCCAGTTTTAAATTCGCCCACTCCCAACGAGGGCGAAAGGGGCGTAAATTAAACGGGGCGAAAATTTCCCTGTATACAGTAATCAAAACTTGTGGGACGACCTACAATTCCTTACAAGTTAAATTAAAGTCCTTGTAAGAAATTCCCAAACTCCTACCCATAGTTTTGCTCAAACTCCCTATACATACTATTCAAACAAGCCTTAGGGCTCTTACCACAAAGAGGACCCACAAAATATTTTTGTAGCACCCAACATCGGGTAACAATACAATATTACAACTGTTCTTTGGAACACATTTTCTTAATTTTAAAATTAACGTTTCAGTTTTGGAAGAGGATTCGATAAATTCTGATGAAAAATCTGCTTTTAAAGATGAAGATGTTACGCGCATTACATACGTCTCAGCTTCTGTGGCTGGAGTTGTGGTGTTAGTTGTTTGTTTGATCATAATAGCTTACAGAGGAGAGTGGAACAAAAGCAGACGAAGTTTTGAGGCAAATGTAACAAATGGTGATGGTGTCGAAAATCCCTCTTACAATATCCCCCTGTATGAGAACATTGGTAATTTAGAGCAAAATAAAGTATGTACTATTTACAAGATATTGTATTAATTTTGCTATATGTAATATTTTATACATATATAGCCCTTTCATGAGGCGGATCCATAGATATATCGTCTTCACAGAAAAATATTTACATCCATTGAATATTTTCCCTTTTATTTCTTATGAAGACCAATGCCATTAATCTGTGCATGAACAACACTGAGCAAGCTACATGTGTAGTTTTCTTGAACAATGGTTGTTTAATTCAGTGTTACAGTTAATGACAAAACCTGAGTATTTTTCTCAATAGCTGCGACATTTATGCTCATACTAACAACCCAAGAAAGCATTTTATTATTTAAGCATATCTGCGAAGTCGATATGCTTATTTTTTTACATACAGTCTTTCAGTTTTAAAACTTATTAATACCTTTAGGCCCGTATGTACATACTGGTTTGGAACTTAGCTTCTATCAGTATTGTAAGATGCTGACAAACTTATACTTAAATATGCATATTTATTCGCTTATCGTAATTGTAAATGGAAACAGATCATCTGATGTATAATAAACAATAATATAAGTTCAACATATACATGCTTTAAAAATAAATTTTTAAATTCCAACAAGAGAAAATGACGAATGAATGCTCTTATCAAAGTAAAATTATTGCAGCAACATTGCTGCTATATTGCGGAAACATTGCAGCAATACATTTTTGTCACCAGAAACAGCTTTTTAGGTTAGTGAAATATCACCGCTAGCTTCAACAACTTTTGATGACATTCTGGCAATACTGCCAGAAAAAAAAAACTTTCTTGCAACATCTAGGATTACCCATGAGCCATTTGTAAAGCATGCTCATTCATTTACTTCCTCTTTTTAAATAAAGTGGAGGGAATTCAAACGCAAACATGTTTTGCTTCATTATTGACTTGTATCAAGTTAATTAGAGTTGTTGTTTGTGTACATTGGGATTAGACAAGATGAGTAGTAATACTGCATAATTTGGAATGGCCAGAAAAAAGAATTTCAGCAGAATTATATAAGAATATTTACATCCACTGAATATTTTCTCCTTTATTTCTTAAGAAACCCGATTGCGTTCATCACTGCATAAACTACAGTAGGCAGGTCGCCTGGTACAGATTTCTTAATCAGTGGTTGTTCTATCAATGAAACGTATAAAGACGTTCGCATCATGATTACAATAATTAATCTTTTTAATCCTACTTTAATTGATTATTTAAACAGATATAAATATAAACATAAAATGCTTTCTTTGTTTGTTGTTTGTGGAATGAACGGTGGCAGCTATTGCAGAAAAAATTTACATAACCCGCATACGGGTTATGTATTTTTTCTGCAACAGCTGCTTCCGTTCATTCCAGTAATAACAAACAAAGAAAGCATATTATTGTTTACATGTCTACTTTGTTTTCATGTGATCAGACCTGGTGAATCAAAACCATATTCTTTTTGAGATGAATGATTCTATGGAGATAAAATCAGAAAAATTATGTGTGTTTCAACTAGTTCTTGTTATGCATGTGTACTAGACTTGTATGCATCTATATATCCTGGTGTTGCAGGAAAAATTGAATACATGTTATCAGTTAAATTTATGAACAGATATAATAATAATTGATTGGATAAATTTGAATACCTGAACGAAAATTAAATCTTTATATTTTGGAAATTACAAACAAACTATATTATATACATGTATGATACTGATTGGCATTTGGGAATATGTGATGGGCAGCTAATTAAGGTTATTTGAAAATTAATGCAGAATTGCTGGACTTTTCAAAGTGGCATATTGATATTGTTTCTATATAATTTTTGTATGTGCCCGCATCGCTAGATCGGAGGCGTATATTGTTTTTGTCCTGTCTGTTTGTTCGTAAACTTTAACCTTCACCATAACTTTTGAACCAGTGAGTGATAGAGTCTTCATATTTGTTATGCATACTCCACTAATTAAGTTCTTTCAAATGACACCAAGGTCAATAACCTTGTGACCTTGACTGTGTCCTATATTCTAAAAATAGCTTTCTCGAATATTCCTCATAACTTTAGAATCATGAAAGACTTTATATTGAGTATGCATGATCCAATAATTACGGTTTTTCAAAAGAAACCAAGATCAATGTGAACTTGGCATATACTTTTAATAAATTTTTTGTACCTTCGACATAACTTTTGAGCCATAAAAGATAGAGACCTCCTATCTCGTATGCACCCTTCACTAATTAAGCTCTTTCAAAAAACACCAAGGTAAATGACCTTGTGACTTTTACTCTGACCTATATGCTATAAATAGCCTTTTTGAACCTCTGCCATAAAATTTTATTTAGAACCATAAGATAGAGACTTCATGATTAATATGCATACTCCACTCAATACGTTCTTTCAAATGACAAGATCAATGACTTTGTGACCTTGACTGTGACCTATATGCTAAAAATAGCTTTTCGAACTTTGTTGCCACCCTGCGCACAGTGTTTCACAAACATATCTTGATTTTTAATTAATTATTATGATGATCAACCAAATTTTTCTATCTGTTCAAAGAATAGCAGAAGTAGCTAATTCTTACTGACCCTGTGGCTTGCTAATGTTTCTTATATTCTTTCAGCACAGTTTGTTAATTGTTGGATTGATAGATTATTATTTCTTTTAATTACCAACTTATATAAAGTACTGTACGTACTGTTGCCCCAATATTGCTGCAACACAACCTGAAATAATACATGTACTGCAATTGCTTTGCAGCAACATTGCCGCAGCACTTTTCTGGCAATATTGCAGCAAATCTAATTTACATACGAAAAACGATATTACCGCAATATTGACGCAATGTATTGCCAGAATGTTGCTACAATATTGCGGCAATAATGCCAGAAGATGTTGCCAGAAGGTGAGTATTTATGTAAGGGTAGTACATGATTTATAATACACATATAGTACAATAAATATAGTTGCTTTAAATTTATAACATGTAAGATGAAGGGGCGTTAAATGTAATTGATATCTGTAGAAGCACATTGATATTTATTTAAGTAAAATAAAAACAAAATATAAGGTGGATTTCTTATAATTATCCATCCTGTCCCTAAACTAACTACGGAACTTTGAAGTATTTTTTCATGATTTAAGCCTGCTAGATATAAACTGTCAGTAGAATCAGGAAGATAGTTTTTGGAATACTTCTGTTTATAGCAGTAAAAAGAAAAAAATGAATTTACTCAGCGCTTACGTTGGATTTCAGCTATTGTATACATAAAACTTTTTA